TGCCAGAGGGAGTGCCAGGGCAGGCAGGTCTCGGCCGCGGCGGGAGCCTCGAGGGAGTGCCAGAGGCTAGAAAGGCCTCGGCCGAAGCGGGAGTGTCAGGGCAGGCAGGCCTCGGCCAGCGCGGTTTCTACGGAATGAATGGGACGAGTGAATGTGGAGAAGGAAGAGGCGACGAGAGCGGGGGATTAACGGGCGCGCGAGCTGCGCGAGGCTAACAAGGACAGGAGGCGGCAGGTATAGAAAGCACGCGGAGCGAGCGCTGAGAGGAGAAAGGACTTGCTGGAGCTGCGCAAGCTGCGCGCTGGCGTACCTATATCGCTGAGCTTGGCGTCGTACCAGCCGCAGAAGAGGTTCTGCAGGTTCCACTCGCTCTCGCCGTGGCGCACCATGACGACTCTGTACCGCGGCGCCATCCTCGCTGCTGGCGGTGCTGGTCCTGGTGCTGGTGTCCGGGTGCTGGCTGGATCCGCTCTGGCGCCTGGCTGGTGGCGCCTGGGCGGCGCCTGGGCGGCGGTGCGGGGCGCGAGGGGCGAGAGCCAGGCAGAGGTTAGGACAGCCCTGTCATCCTGTGCTCCAGCGGGGCGGCGCTGAGGGGGTGGCGCTGGGCTTGTGTTGGCGCTGGCGCTGGCGCTGGCGCTGGTGCTGGAGCTGGTACTGGTGCTGGCGGTGGCGATGGCGATGGTAGACGACGGAACGAGCACTGTTCGACGGGCCGAGCTGCACCACTCTCCACGACGCGGACGGGTCCGGGTCCGGGTCAGGCCTGTCGGGCCGGGCGAACCTCAACCTCCTATCCGCTGTTCGCTCTACGGCACAATGTAGGGAACGCCTTGGCTGTCTTGCCGCGCTATGCCGTGCCCGGGCCGTGCCCCACAGCCGTGCCCTGCCGCCCCGCCGCGCCCCGCCCTGCCTGGCCTGTGGGCTGGCCGCTCAGCGCTGAGCTCAGCGGGGCCTGAGGGGCCTGCGGCTGCGCCTTGGCTACGGCTGGGCTGGGCTGGGCTTCGTGGGCCACGAGGGGCCACGTGGGCCACGCTCGCTTGGGGCTTTAGCCGAGAGGGGCGTGGCGAACGTGGCGGGGGGTGGCGGGGAAAGGAGAGGGGCGCAGGACAAGCAGCGGGGGGAGGAGTGGAAGGGTGGGGCGGCGCACGGGTCGCACGGGGCGCCCCGGGGTACTTACCAAGCCATAGACTTTGACTTGACAGGGCTAGGCTACAAGAACGACCGGCTACTTCAGCTCGGACAGCGCACTCACAATCGATATCCAATCGCGAGCGGGCGAATAACCGAGTATCACTCTGGCACGGTGAATGAATGCCGCTGCGTCTCGCCTGAAGTCGCCGCCGCCGCACAGTCGCGAGGGACCTCGCTGACTCGTCGTGCCGTCTCTCCTGACGGGGAGCCCCGCGCGGGGCCTGCGACTCGTGGTGGAGGCTTGTGAAGCCCCGCCTCGTGCCTCGATGTGGCGATCGGAGGGGCTTTCCGGGTGGCCAGCCGGTCGGCGATCATACTCGGCGCTATTTCAAGGAAGTAAACATTTAGTGGACCATTTGGCTCGGCGCGCGGCCCGGCTGCTGTGTGGCCGGGCGCCAATAAAGCGGCCCAAAGGCGCCAGCCCCGCGAGCGCGCACCCAACCACTCGTGTTGGTAAACAAGAAGCGAGCCGGGCGCGGCGAGAATCACAATCAAAGGCGTAGGGCATGAGCCTCGGGAGGGAGAAATCTTCTCTCCTCTCAGTTATTCCTCTTCCATTTGAGGACCTTGAACGGACATGACGAGCATGCCGTCCTCGGGTGGATGACTCGGGTTCACGAAGTCCCTGTGGGGCTCGTAAGCCCCTGCCGACCGCCACGAGTACGCCCGGACCGGGGCCATTCAAGGCAACGCGGCTGGGGGCCGGGGGGCCGAGCGGGCCCCCCATTGGTTTCCAGTCAGGAGCCCCCTGCCTCCGCTCCCCCGCCCCTTTCCCCTTTGGCGGGAAGCTCGGCACGATCTGATTGGCCTGCACGGAGGGGAGGGGGAAGACGATGCACCGGAGTGAGTTGTTTGTTGTCGTCCTGCAGCGCGAGAGAGGGCAGGGAGGGGGCGGATGATTCATACAGAAAAACTCTCCGGCCTGGAGGAGAAAATGTTTACCTGGTGTGGGAATGCGGTCCGGTCCTTTGCGGCGGAGCGGCGTGGCGCGGTGCGGCGGCGATATGATGGGGCTAGGGGGGTTCATTCATTCCGGCATTCGTCGAATTCCAGAGCAGTTGCGCACGCCGCCACGCCAGGGCCGCGTCCGGAGGGGGCGCCATGCTCCTGCGGCGGGCCTGCGGTGGGCCCCGTGCCGCCCGTGCACTTCGGACGCGGCTCAACCAGTAGTTTGGGCTGGGCCCCATTATCCGGGTGAGGCGAGGTGGGCCAAAAGGCTGGCGGGCCTGACGGGCTGCGTGGCCGACGAGGTGGTCGCCGTGCCCCGCCGGACCGGAGCTGGACGTGAGCGACGGGGCGGCCGGTGGCGGGGCCCGCCTTTGCACGAGACGGCCAGGATCTACGCCAATTCCGGCCAAACCACGTTTCGCGAATCGTGGCGAGGAAAATTCCCCCCAGTGTAATTCTAGGGTTTGTCGACGTGAAAAACACACGTCCTCTGGTGATTGTCCCTGGCGGCTATCTCTCTGCTTCGCTCTGCGCCAGCAAAAAAACCAACAAAAAAAACCAAAAAAAAAAAAGCCCTCCGAAGCACCTGCAGGAGTCTTCCCCCAGACATCGGCCGGGTCTCCTCCCGTGTCCTGTCGCTCTCCCCGAGGTGCGCCGCCGAGCAGGTCCTGGAGTAGAGCGGCGCGGTGGGAGCGCGCTAGTCGCCCGGCCCTGGCCCCCCTGGCCGGGCCTGTGTGAGGATAATGGTCAGTGGATGGCCGATGGCCCCCCTCTGGCCGCGGCCCCGCCTCAAGTTACCCTGCGCCCTGCTCTGCTCAGGCGTTACCCCGCTCAGAGGCGTTACATAACGCGTCACCTGAGCAGGAAGATAACATGTTTACCGAGGACTCACCTTACGCCGAGGTTGGCCTCCGTGCGGCCCCGAGTCGAGCGCCCCCGGGTGCTACCGCGAGTGCAGCCTGTGGCGCCCCGAGTGCAGCGTGCACTCGCTTGCACTGTACTGCTGCAAGAACGGCCTTAGCCCCCAGCCCGAATTGTACCTGACAACCCTGCAGCGGCGCCCACCGAGGGCACCTGCGAGCGCCAGGCAACGACGCACCGCCCGTTCCTCCGTCCCGTACTATGTATGCCCCAAACGTTGTTTACGCCGTAGGTCGTTTACTGCTGATAAATTGTACCAATATCCGTCAGTGAGAGCGAGAGAGCAAGCGTCTACTCGCTCAAGGGCAGCAGAGGGCTCCTGGCACAAAGCATACGGAATACTCTGTACTACTTTGTGGCTCCCGGGCTGGGCTGGGACCGCCCCCGCTGAGCCGCGGTCGTCCCAGGGGTGCAGCTGTGCTGTCGACCCCACGGGGGCCGCAGGGGCCGAGCCCGCTGCGCTCGGTGGTGTTTTCGGTGGGTCCTATTTATAATTTAAATCAGAGCGCCAGCACAAGTACAGGACGGGGAGACGCGGCGGGCCCGGCCTCTGGTCGTGCTGCGGCTGCGGGGCGCGTGGGTATGTAGCTGCGCGCTGCAGCTGTCCCAAGGATCTGCGCCTTCGTACGGCACGCACAGTTAAAGATGCGCCAGGTGAGGGAGGGGATGAAAAAGAAGTGACTCAAGGAGCCGGGAAACATCAGGCATAACCTGAATGTATAAGAGGTGGCTCATTCACGCCACGCACTATCGTCGTTATACTGTCCCGAACGCACGCGTGCGAGCGGGTTGCCTACTCGCACGGGGCCATAAGTAGCCGTGGGCATAGGCAAACACGCCCGCACCCGTGTATGCGGTACAGTGTAACGACGATAGTGCGCGGCGGGCGGCGTGCGTGAATCAGTCACCTGGTACTTTGGTATTGTCTTTCTTCTTGTAAACAATAATTACGATTAGCATGAGGTTCAAATTGTTTTATTTCTGTAGATTTGTACCATCGCGGATGTGCATACTAGCAAGAGGATGCGAGAATCCTCACAATAACATAAAGGTCGCCCACATGAGTTAGTTAAACTCTCTGCTGTATGTAGCCGTGTGACGCGTTGCCTAGCCTACTGACGAGAGGCGGCAAGTCGCCGTGGTGAGAGTCGGCACAGTATAAGCAGAAGGGGGTGCGGCTTCAAACACCCACCCTGCATGTGAACTTGATGTATTTACGAGGGGGCGACTACTCCCTTTGGATGTGTACACATGATTTCCGAAGTACTTAATTCCGAATGATTCCCGCCCGCTTATATTCATTCCTCTGGTTTTCTTATAGAAAACGCTTATTTCGACCAATTTGCACCAGTTCGACTAGTTCCCCGCTTAGTCTACGCAATTTCTGTTGATTTCGATTAATGTGTATCCTGATGATTCCCAGGTAGGTGTACCGGGTGTAACTGTGAAAACGCAGTAGTGTTGCGGGTTTGCCCACTCTTAACACCCGTAAGGGGTCATGGCCCTTGCGGCCAAATTGAGTATGCAAACCCAGAACACTGCTGCATATTCACAGTTACACCCGGTATACATGGTTGCCGGAGTTGCTACTCCGTGTATTTGCGGCTCTGTTTCGCAGCCGCGTTCCTATGGTTTTGGTTTGATATTTTAGAAGCGGGTCATGTGGCTTACTTACTCCCCTTCGTACTGCGTGTTTGCTCGCTAAATTGCCTATCAATGGAGCGTCCATATCAAGGGTGTTATTTGAGGGGTGAGGGGTATCCTGGATACGCTCCTGCTGTTTTGCCACATCCTTTACATCTCCCTTTCACCCTTCTTGATTCAGTAAAATACCCTCTAAGATCCCCTCTCCCCCTCCCCGACAAAAAAATCCCCGCGGGTCCCTACCCCAACTGCATCGGTGGGAAATGGGGGAGGGGGGGG